GAATTTCGAGTTATTTTTGGAGCTTTTTGATGAATTCCGAAGGATTTTTTTGGGGACTTGGGGTAATTTTGCGGTAATTCAGGAGATTTTGAGGGATTTTTTCCATGATTTGGGGTAATTTTGCATTAATTCAGGAGATTTTAACGGATTTTTCATAAATTCGGGATCATTTTTTTTGGGATCGCGGTTTCTCTTTCCCGCTCCTCATTCCCGGGTTTTTTTACCCAAATTCCCCATTTCTTAACCCCGATTTTTTTATAATTTTTTATATTTTTTATAATTTTTATATATTTTTATATTTTTTTAGAGCTCACCCGGCGGCTGCAGCAGCGGTTCCTCGTCCGCCATGTTGGACCCGCATCACGTGACCTCCCCCATCACGTGACATGCAAATGAGGGGGCGTGGCTTAAAAAATAAAATCCATAAAAAACCAAAATAGGCGCGGCTTAAATGWCAACAATTTCAAATTAGGAAACTCTGGGGCGTGGTTAAAGCGCGGATTAAACATATTAAGCTACAATAGGCGTGGTTTTATTCATATATGGAAATAAAGCCGCTGTGGATTTTTATTATTTAAATAAAAATAGGCGTGGTTTTATCCATATATGGAAACAAAGCGGGCGCGGATTTTCTCCAAATAAACAAAAATTGGCGTGGTTTTATCCCATAAAAGGTAATTTGTGGGCGTGGATTTTTTTATTATTTAAATAAAAATAGGCGTGTTTTTTTCCATATATGGAAACAAAGCCCCTGTGGATTTTTATTATTTAAATAAAAATAGGCGTGGTTTTTTCCATGTATAGAAATAAAGCAGACGCGGATTTTCTCCAAATAAATAAAAATAGGCGTGTTTTTTTCCATATATGGAAACAAAGCGGGCGTGGATTTACACCAAATAAATAAAAATAGGCGTGGTTTTATCCATATATGGAAATAAAGCCGCTGTGGATTTTTATTATTTAAATAAAAATAGGCGTGGTTTTAACCCATACATGGTAATTTATGAGCATGGTTTTTTATTAATTAAATAAAAATAGCCGGTTTTTTATCCCAAATATGGAAATTTATGGGCGTGGCCCCGCTCCCCTCAGGGGCGTTCCCGCCGTTTTTTCCCGCCCCTTTCTTCCCGCCCCTTCCCCTCAGGAGCCGCCGCCATTTTGTCCCTCCCCCCTCAGCCGCTGTCATGGCGCTCGTCTCGGCCGATTCGCGGATCGCGGAGCTTCTGGGGGAGCTGCACCAGCTCATTAAACAGACGCAGGTAACGCTTTTGGGGCCATCCTAAAATTTTATTTGCAATTTCCCCGGGTTTATTTGGAATCTCCGGTTTTTATTTGGGATCCCCCGGGTTTATTTGGGACCCCCCCGGTTTATTTGTGATCACCCGTTTTTATTTAGAATTCCCCGTTTTTATTTCGGTTCTTCGATTTTTATTTAGAATTCTCTGTTTTATTTAGAATTCCCCGTTTTTATTTAGAATTCCCTGGGGTTTTTTTGGGATCCCCCGGGTTTATTAGGATCCTCCCATTTTTATTCAGAATCCCCCATTATTTATTTAGAATCCCCTGTTTTTTATTTAAAATCACCCGTTTTTATTTAGAATCCCCCGTTTTTATTTGGGATCCCCCTTTTTTTTTTTTATCCTCCATCCCCCCTCAGGATCCCTCTTTTTTCCCCACTGTTTCCCCTCACGGATCCCTAAAATCACCCAATTTCCCCCAAAAATCACTCTTTTTCCCTCACAGACCCCCAAAATCACTTTATGGACCCCAAAAATCACTTTTTCCCCTCACAGATCCCCAAAATCACCAATTTTCCCCCAAAAAAACACCTCTTTCCCCTCATGGACTCCCAAAATCACCAAATTTCCCCCCTAAATCAATGAATTTCCCTCAAAAATCACTTCTTTCCCCTCATGGACACCCAAAATCACCCAATTTCCCCCAAAATCACTTTTTTCCCCTCACAGACCCCCAAAATCACCAATTTTCCCCCAAAAAAACACCTCTTTCCCCTCATGGACTCCCAAAATCACCCAATTTCCCCCCAAAATCAATGAATTTCCCCCAAAAATTACTTCTTTCCCCTCATGGATCCCCAAAATCACCCATTTGCTCCCCAAAATCACTTTTTTTCCCCTCACAGACCCCTAAAATTACTTTATGGACCCCAAAAATCACTTTTTTCCCCTCACAGATCCCCAAAATCACCCATTTTCCCCCAAATTTTCCAAAAATTTCCCCAATTTCATCCCAAGTTTTCCCCAATTTCCCTCCTTTTCCCCCAATTTCACCCCAATTTCATCCTTTTTCTCTAATTTTCCCCAATTTCCTCCCATTTTCATCCAAATTTTTCTCATTTTCTCTCAATTTCACCCGAAATTTTCCCCTTTTTCCCCAATTTTTCCCCAATTTCTCCCCATTTCCTTCCTTATCCCAAATTTCCCCAATTTCACCCCAAATTTCCCCCTTTTCCCCCAATTTTCC